CACGTCCGATGGCAGGCTATTCCAGACCTTGGGGACTTGGACAGTAAAAAAAATTTTCCTTATGTGCAGCCTGAAATGGTCTTGCAGGGGTTTATAACCTTTTGATCTTGTCATCCCTTGGCGTGCTTTGGTGAACAAACGTTCCCCAAGATCCTGGTGAACACCTCTGATAAACTTATAGGTGACCACCAGATCGCCCCTGAGCCTGCGCTTTTCCAGGCTAAAGAGCCCCATGGCTCTCAGCCTGTCGTCGTAAGGTCTGTTTTCCTGACCTCTGATCATGTGTGTGGCTCTTCTCTGGACTCTCTCAAGCTTCTCCACATCCTTTTTGAATTGTGGAGCCCTTGATGCTGCTTAGAAAGGGAGAAGTGCTGGAATGGATCTGGGGAGGTACCTCGTGCTCCTGTCTGTCCCCCCTATCCCTGCACATGTTACCTGCTTCAACTCGGGGAACAGCGGCAGGGAGAGCAGAGACATGGCAGCAGCATGTGGTGGAGGAGTGGCCAGAGGTTGACGGCTGCCCAGGAGAGATGACAACCCTGTACTTGCCCCCCGCAAAACACTTGGGTTTTTTTGGCCTTCTACATACACGGTGATAGCAGAACATGGGATGACATGACACCCCTCCTGCAACAGTGAGCCTCTGGCTGCTCTTCCACTGTGTGCCATCACTGCTTCTCTGCCTGCCCCCAACCGTCCCTGGAGCTCCTTTAAGAAATCAGCATCCATCAGCTGCAACGCTTGCATAAAGTGTCTGTGAAATAAAATGGAGTGGAGCACATGGCAAATATGTCCCAGCTCATTCAGACAGGAAAGAAAGGGAGTATACTGGATTATGCTGCTTGCAAATAGCCAGTCTAGGCCTGAGCAGTGCACCATGGGCTTTGCAACCTGGCTTCTGTGAAGGCCAGAAGAGCCTTTCTCCTGGCTGTGAGTTCAGACACACCTGTTGGACACTCTGGAAGGACAACAATCCCTGAATCTGCCTGTTCTCCTTACTTGCTTTATCACCACAGCAGCTGATGCTGGTGAGTGCAGTGGATCAGTGCAGCTGTAGACTTTTCTTCTTCAGACAGTAGCTGGCTTGGGGAATGGACAGTGCAGGAAGAGGGTTCACCTTTGCACTCCAGAACCAACTTTTCCAGTGGAGAGACTACTGTGAAATGGCCTACAGTTTGGAAAGCAGGTGTAAGCAGATGCAGGAAAGTCTTCTTGAATGTGCAGCCAGCTGGAAACAGTATCTTTCAGCTGCATGAGCTACCTGTGTTCATCTCAATTAACTCTCAAGCCCAGTGTTATTTCACTGCTGATCAAGGCAGGCAGGATGAAGGATGGTGGCAACCATGAAAGTCTGCTGCCCATGGTGTCCCATTTTGGTGATTCAGAAGCGTGAGGATCAGACTGTAGATCAAGCTGGGGAGACTGCCAGTACTCCTCCCCCACTGTCACACACACTTTTCAGTCCTTGTTTTTAAGCCCTGAGAGAAGGAAACTGTCGTGAGTGATGAAGAGGAAAGTAAGCAGTGCTTCTGAATCGAGGGCCTGGGAGTCAACTGGAAGGAGCTCAGGGAACTACAAAGGGATCTTGTTGTCCTTTACCTCTCTTTGTGAGGACCGGAAGACTCTACCCTCTGCCGTCTTGAACTGAACTTCAACCTAGGCTCAAGACCACATCCCAGTCAGCTTTCCAAGCACCTGAACAGGACTTTGGTGGAAATGAGGTGTCTGAGTCATAAGAACTGACCTAGATCAACCCCATTCCAGCAGCTGCAAAACCACATAAGCCCCTGGCTTCTTGCACATCTCCATTTCAGTCCCTAATCATTGTAGGCTGCTGGGTATACTCTGAAGTGATCTGGATCAGCCACGGAGGCTCCTAGTTACCACCTGAGCTCCATTCCTGGAGACCACCTACATCTCCTGTTCCTTAGGTGGCCGTAGAATATACTGGCTGACGGACACGGACACCATAAACCTCATTGCAAAGCACAGTGCTAAAGGAGGTGACAGGGCCTGCCCTTTGCCCAAGAGTCCCATGGTTAGAGCTTTCAACCAGGAAGGGAGAAACCTCACCTCCAGGGGGTGTGTAACCCACATGTCCCATGTCTTAGAATAGTGCCTAGCCATTAGGCCATGGGCTGCGAGCCTCCTCCAGCCCTCTGGTCCAGGGTGGAGTTCCTGAGACATCTCCAAAAAAGAGCAATTCCTCACCCACAAGTGGTTTGTGAATTTGCTCAACACGAGAGTCAGACCTGGCCCTTGGACCTCCATCTCCCCCGTCTCAGAAGGGCCCTCCAGGCCACAGTCAGTTGGCTGCTCTGCAATCTGGCTGTTGGAGCAGTTCTGCTTTGCCCAGATACTCTCGTGGTCCTTGGCACATGTGCTTGAGCATCTGGGCTATGGAGAGAGTTTCTATTGTCTTCTCTCAATGTCTTCTTTTAGTGCTGTTCCACTCTGTATTAATAAATATTCGCTGGCCTAGAGAGGCAGTATAAGATTGACTTTAGGGCTTGGTGCTTAGGGTGGTTTGGTACCTGGGAGGTGGAAAACTGAGGCTGAAGTCCCTGGTCTGAGTGAGGCAGGTCCACCTTAAGAGACCTAGTGCTGAACCAGGAGGACTGCTCTTACCGTGGGTTGTTAGGTGTTCTGGCCTGGGCAGGGAGGCATATCTTTCTCTGCTTTTTTTTTCTTTTTTATTGGAAAGCTCTAGAGATCTCGCAAAATTTTCTTGCCCTGCTGTATGTTGCATACAGTCATGGCTGGTTTGATGGTCTGGACCTGGACGTTGTCTATTGTGTAGCTTTCTAGGCCTCTGTGAGAGCAGTGCTCCAATCAGTCATTCATTTACTCCTGAGTTTGTTAATGAACTCCCATCCAGTATGTTGCTACTAGCCCTGGGGGCTTTATAAACATCTTTTGGGGTCCTCTGCCCTTCTGAACAGGAACATGCAGCCCTAGATAGATGCAGCCTTTGTTCCAGGGGCAAAATCTCAGGTTTCCTCATGATATGGGACTAGAGGCTCTTAGGAATAAGCCTCTTGAAAAACTGCTGATGCTAACTGGGTCCCCATGGCAGAGGCTGTACTGAACCTCATGGGAGGGATATGCTTAACAAGTGCAGGATCTGCTACTTCCTGGCTATTCTCTCTGAAACATGGAGAATAAACTTCAAATCAGAACCTGTCCAGTGACTCAGACATCTGAGAAGTGCTCCACAGTTTTGAGAAACCTGATTTTTTTTCTAAGTTTGGACTTTGCCATGAGGTAGGGAACTACCTGGGGCAGGAAAAGGAATCTAGGACCTCTATAAAATCCTCTCAGGAGTTTATGGGTCAAGTTCATTTGTTCAAGCTGACCATTTTCCACTGTTTTCCAAAATCAAAAAGTGTTTCTATCTATCAGCAGGGCTACAAGCAACAGCCATCTGGGTTGTTGGAAAGAATGGGAGCAGAACCCATGTGCCTTCCCCCAGGAAGATTTTCCTTTGAAGGGCTAGGTAAAAGGCAGAGATTAACTGATTCGGAAAGGATGAGCTTGTGTAGGCAACAACCTACTTCAACGGATGCCTGGAGCCAAGTGCATCTGACAAAGTAGATTATTGCCGAAGAAATCTCATGCCTTTTTGAACCAATTAGTCTCTAAGGTGCCACTCTGCCCTGCCTTCTGTCTAACTTCAGACTAACATGGTTTACCCCCCCTCTAAACGGCTAACGCTTTCATCCATGGCCACTGGCGCACATGCCCCGATGATGCAGTGTGCATTGACTACAATAACTTACTGCAAACTAAGTCACTCCAAGGATCTCCCACCCTCTGTGGCACATCTGTGAGTTTGTATCTCTGCTCTCTAAATACAAGGAGCAAGATGAGATGGGACTGAAGGGGTTGGGAGGGAGTGCACAAATATATGATGGGAATGTTATAAAGGAATAGGAATATACCCCTTCCTCCCAGTCTGTTTTTCTCCAGAAAGTTCAGTTTTAAGCTGTCACTGCCTTTTCCTGCTTTTTGAAGTCAGAGAGCTCTGTACATGGATGGCTTCTTTAATTAATTAATATAAATATAGCGAAACATAAATAATACAACATGCCTGAAATAGTGTCACCCTTGAGCATTTAGGCAAGCACGTCATGGAAAGAAAATAAAAGGGCTTTTTTAAATCTGTCTTGGCTTTCTCTCTCTGTCTGTCTTTTTTGTTTTCTGTGGTTTGCCCATTCATGAGGAAAGTGCAACCTTTGCCACGGATGCAAATGCTCTGAAGATTTTTAAAAAGTTGAAGAAATAAATGGATCCATTCATTGGAACAAAGCAGAAAGCTTTCCATTGCAGGGGTTGCCATACCATTATAGGACAGTGCCCATACGTGTCTGGTGCAGCATGTTGGTGTTTTTAGACTGAGCTCTGGGGGTTTGCAGATACCTTCCCCTCACCGCTTTGGAAATAAAAAACCCCAAAACATAGGGTAGGGGCTGAACAAGCTTGAACAATACTAAAGCAGAGAGCTTGAATGGGCAGAGATTTCCAACATGTGTGCAGTGAAACCTCTGCAGGCTGGGTGAAGAGTCCCAGTCAGGATATTTATGACCTGACGATTCATTTGAACCTGGTTGTGGATTAGGAAACGCTAGCAGAAAGATGAAAATAAATGATCTGGAAGTAGTGAGGCTTTTGAAAAGGGCCTGTTTGTTTAAGGGAGCACTAGGATTTTGGGGGAAAGAAAGAAATGCTGCAAAGGTCTTCCTTAGGTGATAAGTGACTTGCAGGTTGGGCACTCTTATTCCTCTGTCTGAAGGTGCCAAAACAGGTCACTACAAAGTGAGAGAGAGTGAGAGGGGTTAAATAAATTGGCTATTTCCTTCAACTCCTCCTCTTAAGTCCTGAGTCTCTGCTCCATTCACGTGGAGCAGACAGAGCAAGTGTAGTGTCTGAGGCAGAGGGGCTGAGCTGGATCTGCATCTCTTTTTGCATATCAATCCAGTTCTGCAGTTAGTAGATTGAGATCCACCTTAAGAGGGGTAGTTGGAGCTGTCGGGCTGAGCAGGGAAGTGCTCAGACCAGCAGAGACAGCAGCTGCCAGTGAAGACGTTCACCATCCAGAGCAACATAGCAAGAAGGCTTGGGGGAACTTGCTCCCCCCCAGCAGCCCTTTCTTCCCACCCCCACCCCCACCCCAGGGAGGCAGAGAGTGGAGCCTGACCCTCCTGGATTATTGGGGCCAAGAGCACAGCTGGCTTGCTGGCTTGTTTCAGAGGTTTGTCTTTTTCTGTTCTCCCAAGTAAGGGAATAAATTAGGAGGAGAAGCCTGAGGCAGCTTGCTTGGCACTGGAAGGTAAGGCTGACCACGGCATGCCGGACAATGTGTGTACACTCTGTATCTAGCCGCACTCGCTCCGGTGTGGGTGCCTTGTAGGGGCTTGCTCAGCAGAAATGCGAAAGCTGCTGCCTGTTTGTGTCTAATACCTGCTTGTGATTCGGGTTTGGGGAAGCTGGGCTGTGGGGGAACTAAAATGACAACTGAGAATCCCAGGAGCCCTGAGCACTGCAGCTGGCAGGGTGGGAATGCCGGGGAGGGGGGAAACTCTGATTTCATGTGCGCTCCAGGAAAGGCAGCTTGAAGGCCAGTTGGATGTGGTGCTCACAGAGCTGTATCGCCTGGCTTCACCCTCCTACCCTGCTGTCTCCATCTCCACGCTGGATCTGGAAGGCAAGGTGTGTCTGCTGGCCAGTGTGAGCCTGGATTACTGGGGTGGGGGACTAGCCCCTAAACTCCTGCTTTTCTTAAAGCCTCCTGGGTATGTTTGTTTCTCCTAGAAATGGAGGTTTTGCCGCCTCTGCTCTAAAAGGCAGCTCTGGGGGACTTTCTTTTTGTAGCCCAATCCTCCTGCCTCCTCTGTTGCCTATTTGTACCTGTTTGCTTCAGGAGCAAAAGTTTTCCTTGCTTTTGCAGCTGTTGGCACCACAGAGCTGACCCAGCTCCCATGGAGCAGGCTGAGAACTGCAGCTCATCTTGTGTGTTGTTTACTGAGGTTGAGTCCATCCCAGCCGGGCAAAGCAGCTGCAGGCAGTGGCCTTACACTGCTGTCACAGAAATCAGTATCTGAAGATGAAGGGGGTGGGGGGTGTTGTTGTGAAGGTCCAGTTGAGCCAGCATAACCCAGGTTGACCCAGTGCCCAGGTTGAAGGGTTAGGGCTGGCATTAGAAAGCACTGTTTTTCCTTGCAAAATGTGCATACTTGAAATGCAGTCACGGAGAGGGCAAGCATGGAATCGCTGGTGCCAACAGACAGCAGCAGTGACTCTCTTGAGTGGAGAGGGTTGGCGGACAAAATGTGTTGCATGGCACTGCACAGCCCTACATGAAGATGCAGGGTAACAAGGGGTGCTCTGGTTAGGCAGTTGTAGGGCTAAGACCCCAGGAAACACAATCCCAAGGTGTCCAGCTGGCCACCCATTGAGCCCTCCATCTAGTATCCTCCCCAGTTCATTGGTGCCTGTAGTGTTGTATTCTCAGGAGGGACGCCATGATCGTGCTGTATTTAGTTATCAAACTAATGATGTTGGGTGATCTGTTCATTAGATCCAGGTCCTGAGAAAAGATTGTGGGACTTGGTGTTTGTGTTCACTAGGAAAAAAAATGTTTCTCTGAGTTAAGATCTCAGTAAAGACAAGGCACTACGTACTTTTTACATGTGTTTAGCAGATCGTGTTGAAATATGAGGCTTCCTATTGCCTACAAGTCAATCTGCTCCCCCGGCAGCTGAATTTAACCTAATTTGATCAGCTTCAGGCTGCCTTGTCTTTTCACAGCATCTCCAGCCAAGTTAGCCAGGCCAAGCTATAGGACTTGAAATAGTCAGGCATGGTTCTTTGGAAAGATATAATATCTTTTATTAGACCAACTAAATAGTTGGAAAACAGTTCTTTGAAAGCTTTCAGGCACAAACTTGAGATAAGAAGGCACCTTTTCTGCTCAGCACAAATGCAGCCTGAGTTGTTCCCTCACTCTGCTGTGACTTCAGGCAAGCTCTTTGCCTTCCTTCTACTTGAGTAAAAAAAAAATAGGTATCTCTTTACTTCGAAGGAGAGGAATAAGACAGGGCCTTTTGAAGGCATATAAAATAATGAATGAGCTAGAGGAGGCTGTGTGGAGAGAGTCATTGAAACTGAGCAGTAAAGTCAGAGCTTTGTTCACACCGGGCTTAATCTGTGGAATTTACTGCCACAAGACACCAAGGGATTGAACAGAACTGAAAAAAGTTGGGACATTACTAGTATAACTCTAGAGTCCTGTATGCTTAGCAAACTGTGGTTGCGTAGGCATGCTCTCCAGTGAGCCACTGGGAGTATGCACACTATGCAGATACTGCTGGCGAATAAACATGCAAGTTCAGGCATGTGAGCCAAAATGTGGAATGGGCTTCCAAGGGAGGTGGTGCTCTCCCCTACCTTGGGAGTCTTTAAGAGAAGGCTGGATAGGCATCTGGCTGGGGTCGTCTGACCCCAGCACTCTTTCCTGCCAAGGCAGAGGGGTCGGACTCGATGATCTGGTGAGGTCCCTTCTGACCCTAGCGTCTATGAATCTACGAATCTAAGTTCCTGCTGTGTAGGTAAGGTTTTATTTTCTCAAGCTTGGGAAGCACTGGAATCCCTTCTTCAAGCCACAATCCAACTTGGCTACTGAATGGGTTTAGGAGGAAGCTATTCTCTGTGGGCAAGCTGTCCCCTGTGAAGAAGCATCCCATAGTTTGAAGTTGATGCTACTCTAGGTGGGCCTCTGGTCTGATCCAGGTCAACAAGAAGAATTACTCTGTTAAAAGGAAGGGGTTCCCCGAGCCCTGTGGTGGGAACCTGAGATAAACTTTCATGCATAACCAGCACCAGAATGTCCTTCACATACTTTTCCCATTTTTAGTGCATCTCCAATGAATTGGCTAAATAAACCACAGAACCAGCAGATCAGCTAAACTGACCTTTTGTATCCCTCTTGTTGCCTGAACTGATTTATCACTGAGACTTTCTTCGTTGTCACTGATGCTATCACAGTGTGTAGGTCATGAACCGGGTTGCCATTGTGTTAGGTGCTGTGCAAACATGCAAGCAAAGGGCTGCCCCTCTGTAAAGCACTTGTAGTCTAACTGGAGACGAGAGACAGCAGATAGATACTGGCAGGCAGACAGGGAGTATGAAGAAGCCATGAAGCATTATTTGTCAGTGGCAGGCAGTGGTCCAGATATGTAGGCAGTTTAGCCATTGGCAAATTGTCATGGAGTTGCTCACCCAGCAGCACAAATGGGTCCCAGTGAGAATGGGCCTGGGTACACCCCACTTATCCATGCCTTCTGATGTACCCGAGACCCAAAAGTGCCAGCGAAGCTGCTCTGGCCTCATCCCCATTGCCTGCCAGCAGCTGCGGGCTGGAGGGTAGGACTAGAGG